CTCCTCCTGCCCCAGGTGGTTGCAGATATCAATATCTCGTTCCTTTTTGCTCTGAGAAGTACTCTGCGGTGTGGAGGGACCACAGTTTGCTTAACCATCCACCTGCTGAAGGACATCCGAGCCGATGCTAGTTTTGTCCACCACGAGCAAAGCTGCTATAAACACTCCTGCGCAGGTTCTCGTGTGGACATAAGTCTTTATTTCTCTGGGATAAACCCCGAGGAGCGTAGTGGCTGGGTCACACAGTAGCGGCAGGTTTAGTTTTTAAGAAACTGCCGAACCGTCTTTCGGAGCAGCTGCACCGTGTTAGGGTCCCAACACCCACGTGTGACCGATGCTTACTTGTTTATATAAATTCAGTTATGTGAAAATTTTTCTGTTCGTTTAGGAACAAAAATTCTACTCCTTCCATCTAATTTTGAGTTACTGGGGTTAGCCTTAATTCAGTGGTTCTCAACTAGGGGTGATGCTGCCCCTCTCCAGGGGACACTGGATGATGTCTGGGGACATCTGTGGTTGTCACGACTGGAGAAGGGGGTGCTCTTGGTGTGAGGTGGGTGGAGGCAGGGACGCTGCCCAGCACCTGCAGTGCCCAGGACGGCCCCAGTGTCAGTAGCATCTGCGTTAAGGGACTCTGCCGAGTAGGACCCAGCAGGGGTGTCCGTGCTGTTGGGGGTGCCAGGCACAGAGCCCTAGTCCCAGCCACTTAACCAGGTGACTAAGTAGCGCTCCATGTCCGTCACAACTCACGGTGTCGCTGTCAGTTCTGTAGAACTAGGCAGCCGCAGAAAAGCGAAGGCAAGATTTCAGATTTTCAGAACATTCCGACTTCATGATGAGTTGACATTGCACACGGCGACGGGGACAAATCTCCAGGGAATGGGGCCGAGGGAACAGAGCCAGTCCCAGCGGTGACATGCCGTGTGGCTCCGTGGATATAACGTGCTTGGGACGACAGCCCGGGAGACACGGAGACTGGATAGGGGTCGCCCGGGGTCAGGGAGGGCGACAGGAAGGACGCGCGTTGGCGTCTCAGCTATGCCGCTGGATGCGCGAACCTGCCCAGGAGGTGAACTTGGAGGGAACGCGCAGCGCACAGGCACAGAGCACGAGGGAAACTGCAGAAATCGGGACGGCCGGGTGGGCTGTATCACCGTCTGGCCGTTCTGTCGCTTTACAAACTGTTACCCCAGAACCGGGTCAATGAGACACACTTTCCCTGTGTTCTCCGTTACGCCTGGAAGTGACTCCACAGGGATCTCAGTGAAAGTATCAATTAGAAAAAAAAATTCCTGGACACCGCCCGGCTCCCGCGTCTCCAGCAGACGTCCAGCCCCCGTTTGGGGCAGAAAGGCCCGAGCCTGTCTCCTGTCTGCTCCGGGTGCGCAGGGCCGCATGTGGGCTCGTGGAGGGCTCTGATTCAACGGAGAGCTTCAAAACAGCCACAAAACATCCAACTCAGGGAAAACCGCCCTGGGTTCAGCTTAAAAATACCTAAATTACTCAGCGCTAAATATAGACACGGACAGAGAACAAATGGGCCAGCCCCACGGCCTGTTTTCCTTGGAAGGCCAAGGGGGCCCTATCTGACATCCACAGGACCCTGGAGCCGCAGCCGCTGTGTGACCGTCGGGTCTCTGTTCTGGGCAAATGCCATGGCACAGGCTCCCCCGGGCTGGTTATAGCCCAGGCCCGCTGGAAAGGCCAGAGAGGGCTGCATTTGTGTATGAGTGTGTATGTGTGTGTTTGCATCTATACATTTGTGGGTGCACATATGTGTGTTTACATGTGAACGTATGTATATGCACATGTGTGCACATGTATATATGCTAGTGTGTGCAACTGCACATGTATGTGCATGCACACACGTGTGGTATGCACGTCAATGTGCACATACACATGTGTATTTGTGCCTGTGTGTATATGTAGGTGTCAACATGCTTATGTGTATGTATTTGTGTACATACGTGCACTTGTGCATGAATAATGCATATGTGCATGCCATCATGCATATGTATGTGCACACATTTGTGCACATGTGCATATGTATATGTCAGTGTGCTTATGTGCATGCATTTGTTTATATGCATGTACTTGTGCATGCACGCACACATGTGCAAATGTGTACTTGTGTGTGCATGTATACGTGAACACTGGTGCATATGTGCACATGTGCATACATGTGTGTCTGCACATGCATGTCTGTGTGTGCTCACACTCAGACTCAGACACAGGTTGCATCACCCGCAGCCCTTGAAGCTGCTTCCCGAAGTCCCTGTCTTGGCTGCTGTCACCAGCCAGCCACTGACTCAGGGAGCAGCCATGCCCCCCACCGAGAATTTAGCCAACACCAGCAAAACAGGCCTCGGTGCTGAGTCAGCCCAGGGAACATTCCTCACCGGCTGCCTCCCCGCAAAGGCACGTGACGGTGCCGGGCGCCCTGACCTGGCTGGGCTGGGCAGGGCCTGGGAAGGCTTCAGCAGCCGGGCAGGGCCTGGGGACACTGGTGGGCAGGGGTGGGGTGGTCAGAGCTGTGCGCAGCCCAGGGGGCACCTCCCCGACATGCCTCTGTGCACAGCGCTCCGGGCCGGGGAGGTTGGGGAACAACGTGGGGTGAGGCTCTCTAAAAATAAAAATTTAATGGATGCTGCCAGGCTCTGGGCTGGCCTCCTAGCTGAGGGCTAGCAAACCATGCCTGAGTTTAAGCCTCGTGCAGAAAAATCCCACACGCACGCCCTGAAAGGCAAGGACAGCCAGGGTACCCCCCGGTATATGTTGTAAAGCTGCATTACCCCCCAAATAGAACAGGTCTGAGCTTAGACGTGAGGCTGCAACGCCTGCAAGGACTCAGCAAACCCAGAGCACAGACAGCTTCCATCAGCCATAGGACACGTGGGTGGCGAAATGGCAGCACCTGGTCAGAGACGGGTCTGAACCTCGGCCCTGCGGACGGACACTGGGGCCGGGTCAGTCTCTGGGGTGGGGCCGTCCTGGGCACTGCAGGGCGCTGAGCAGCACCCCTGGACTCCACCCACCCCATGCCAGGAGCTCCCCCAGGCACAAACACAGATGTCTCCAGATGTGGCCAAGCGTCCCCTGGGGGTAGTGGGCAGAACCGCCCCTGAGTGAATCACTGGGTTAGAGCAGACCTTTTCCACACTCCGGAGATATTCCATATAAACAGCCGCAGACTGAAATGGAACTATACTCAGATTAGGCCAATCATACGGAATATTCTTTATCATAGAGACGTTGCGTCCTAGCGACTAGATCAACAGAATGAATGGAGATCGGCCATGAATGGAGATGACCACGTAGGAGGATTTAGGGCCAGGCGTGGTGGCTCACGCCTGCAGTCCCAGCTACTTGGGAGGCCGAGGCAGGAGGATCACTTGAGCCCAGGAGTTGGAGGCTGCAGTGAGCTGTGATGACGCCACAGCACTCTAGCCTGGGCCCCTGTCTCAAAAAATTCAAAAAAAAAAAAAAAAAAAAATTAGAACTTCATGCCAGATACTAGTAAAACTAAAACCCAAGACCACTGACCTAGGAAACATCACTGCA